AGCTTTTCTCGCCCCGGAGGACGCGGGCGGCGGGACCACGGCGCATCTGGGTGTCCCGACGCTCCTGTCCTCCGGGGCGAGAAAAGCCCCGTTCGTAACTGCAGATCCGACATAAGTCGGATCCGCGTAACTCGGGGACTGTCTGTACACACCTTCCAGGCATTCCACAAAAACTGTCCCTCCTCTGTCCTCTGCTAGCTACAAATGGCTTGGTTTTTCACTTTTAATTCTAGCAGCTCAATGAAACATAATGCTGCCTCCTTCCCTACCAGATGATATCCCTAGTGCCTTTCACCTCCATGAGTGAAAATCTTGAATTCCTAAAGTTGTGACAAAGGGGTTCTGTTTTAGTGAAATTTCATTTTAGAAAGATTCATGTTGTGCAGATCCTACTGAGAGAAAAGTGAAAGAAAAAAATTCTTAAAATTAAGAAAAAAATTACTCTAAGAGGTTGAGGGGTTATAACATTCCCCATGCCCCAAGAGTAAGAAATTAGGGTAAGCTTGTTTCCACTGACAGAAGCAGAATCTGATAGGAAGTAAAACAGACATGGTGGTGATTAGTTTCGAAACTAAAAAGGTGGGGGGTTTTGGAAGGGTGGGGAGAGATAGAGAGAGATGGAAGGAAATTCACAGTGGTTTTTCAATGCTGCTTGTAAAACTACATTAAAGCAAATTAGCCTCTGAACTTTATTAAATTGGCTATTTATAGAATATTTTTTCCTGTCAAAGTAAACTGACACACATTTTTAAAAAAAATTAGACACATACAAACAGCCCAAATAAGTAATTTGAAAAGTATCAGCGTCTTCTTTTGAAAGATATGGACAATGAAGATCTTAGAATTCTTTGTTTAGAAAGACAAAAGACACTGGTGTGCAAGTACGTACGTTGGTTCCTGGAAAGACTGTGTGTCAAGGAAATTGAACAAAATAGCCAAAATAGCCTCAGCAATAAACCCTAAAGGATATTTACTTTGCCCCAAATGAAAAAGCTTATGACATATGCCAGGACCAGAACTTCACTAGGATCTTAGTGGGACAAAACTTCAGTGTAACTCAAGCCTACTTGAACCAATAGGACAAAGGAATAGTAACCCATTAGGAAGAAACAAATACATGTGCCCTGTGATAGAAACATCACATAGTCTATGGAGGGGAAATCTACCATAATGCTATACTTGAGGAAATCTATTCCATCCTCACTCATAATTGCTGATACTCTGAGTAACAGCGGTCTTTTCAATTTTGTCTCCATGTAAACAACAAGCTTGGGGTATGATTCCCAGCTTTGTGCACACAATTTTGTGATAGCTTTCACTGAGCTAGGACAGGTATTCACAGCAGTCGAGCTGCTTTTTTGCACGCTTGCTCAGATGAGAGCTAGCATCACAAGCCTAAGCTCCTAACGTAGACGTCACCTAAAAGGCGAGCAGAACAATAAAATGGGAAATTAATATAACCGACCAAACCAAAAAGTATTTAAAAGCCTTACCTGCATGTTCTAGCAGAGGGTTATTGGCACCCCAGGTTTGGTACAATGAAGCAAGGTCCTTTGGAATGTAGGTCTTAAAAAAAATGTCCAAACGTTTCTCGTGCCCTTCTGGTGCTGGTTCTTGTTTGATGGAGTGCAAAGCGGGAGAAACTCCAGCTGTGCTAGGCTGAGGCTGCATTAGTGGACTTGCTCTTGCTCCTGTTGTGCAGTTTGCCAATGTTCTTATCTCATTCCCAGCCTTGATGTGAGATTCCCACTGAGGCACCGAATGCTCTTCATGTTTAGTGTACTGCTCAGTTTTACATAGAGGGTGATACTGAGGTGGTGGGTTGAATTTGGCTTTTATGGGGTCAGATGCACAATGTTTACTTGGAGGGAAACCAGCACTTCCTTGGGAAATCACGTACTTCTCCACCTGTTTACTGCTGGCAGGCTTTGAGGCGGGCCTAGATACGACTGTCTGGGTGGGTGTGAGGCTTCTGCTAAAGCTTCCCACGTGCATCGGTTTGGAGTTTACTTCATATTTCGCTTTAAGCTGAGGCTGTTGTGCTGTGCTGCTGTGCTGCTCTTGGGGGTGGTTGGATTTGGACTGCCTGAACCCATCTAGACCTGATGACCGTGGACCACAGTGGCCAAACGAATGGCTGTCCTTAGACTGATGTATACTTCCAGACTTTATTGTTATCCCAACAGGGGAAGAATTGCTTTTGGATCCTGGCAATGCACTTGGCACTTGAGTGCGTGTAAACCTAGCAACAGGTAAAGGTGGGCATTCTTTACCACCAAGGGATGGAGGAGGACCAGTGCGTCCATTTCTTGACAGAAAAACCAAGTTGTTTTTTATACTCTTGAAACCATTTTGTTGAATCCATGGTGGAGCCATCGAGTTACAGCTGACTTTGTGCCAAATTTTTTTGTGCATCCACAGGACTTCAGGGTAATAGGTCTTATGACTACAGTAAGGACATGGATGGACCATCAAAGCCGCCTGCAAAGATGAGTTAAGACCCTTATTGCATGAATCAGCCCTCGTTGATTTTTCACTTAAATCTAGTGGAACCATTTCTTGTGCCTCTCTACCTTTTTCGAGGACAAGATGCTCTCTGTGCGATTCTGACAAATTTTCTTTCGGGTGACTAGCCTGTTTTTCCAACGAGGTTTTCAAGTCTATTACTACATTTGAAGATGTCTGCCCCACTCCTGAAGCAAAGTCAGCCATGCTACTGGAGCAAGCAAGCTCCTCACTGTGTTGGAATGCTGGCATCTTTAAGTCTGAAGAATTTCTCTGGGCTTCATACTTTGGAAAAGGCCATTTGATATTGTTTTCCAGGGTAGATACCAAAACTGATAGCTCTGGTTTAGATTCACTGGCATCTTTTTCTCTGGCATTGTCACTTCCAAATTTAGGAAGCTTATCTACCTGAGATGTTACCATGGGTACCTCCTCTTCAGAAAAACTGCAGTGGTATGGCTTTTTACCTGAAAAGGAAAATTAAAAAAAACAAAATCACTAACATATCAAAAATCAAGAAATCAACTCCGAGATTAAAATAAAATAGTCCACTCACAAACACACAAAGGGAAAAGATCAAATTTTAGGAAGTTATTTAATTATTAGTATTCTAAAGTCATAATATAAGCTAAATATTTTATAAAACCAATCAAACTGTTGTAATAAGACACAAGAGTTCAATTTACTCTGAAAGCATCACTCTGCAGTTTGGATAAACTATCTAATGATGCATGTTCATGACATTTTAAATAAAAAACAATTTGACAATCTGAATCTATTAAAATTCAGAGAGTGAGAGATAGATAAACAAATATGCAGCCATTTAATGCTTTAACAAAAATAATGATAATGGAGCCAGATAAGACTGAACTAGTTAAAGGTCTGTCACTGTTTCCATTACAACCTCTATTTTCAAAGGGTTTATAACTCAGCCAGAAAAATTGGCTCCACACTAAAATTTAGCATATAAGCTCTTATATAAGTACTGCAACACATATGGCATATACCATAAATCCCTTCTCTTAAGAGAGACCTTTGTAATACCCAGATATAATAGGGTGAGTTAAAGACAGCCTACATTCTGTATTTCCTGGTATTTGTTAGTTTAAAAGCAAATATAACTTTATTTTAACATAGTTTATGTTGAATTTTAGGTATACTTGTCTTGGTTGAATTTGCTGATGGGTATGGATACCTAAAATACTTAACTAAAACAGGATTATACATTTTCTGTTTTCTTCTTCCTTTTTGGTAGATTTTATAGCAGTTTAGGGGAAATACACTATGACACAGATTATTGAGAATGTTCCCAAATTCCAGCAGTTCTCAAAATGCTTATATCTTTAAGAGCTACTGATAAAGTCTTTGAATCTCTCCAAATCAGTTCACAATCAATTCCACAGAGGTTTCCATCACAGCAGTAATGCTTACTTCACTGAATCCATTTAACATGTAACAGAATTGAGTCATCTGACAAACTTTCAGTTTCAATTAACATGGAGTTAATGAGCCACTGTTAGGCAACTGTAAGGGGACCATGTTCCATCTAAAATGTCAACAATCCAAAGTGATCACCATAACTGGGGGAGTACTGAAGACAGGGAATGAGTGAACTGTTCTATAGTTACATATCCTCTCGCATCAACTCATAAAAGCCAATGTTTTAGAAAATCAACCACTGTTGTTTAATATAACATTGGCGCCATAGGCATTATTCTAAACCTGCATAATGTAACAAGTATGTTTTAGGCTGAAGTTTCACAGCAAATAAAGTCTATTTAGCCTCCGCTTCAATTCAGGCAAAAAGTCTTAAGCTTTTGTTAATTCAGTGTAATTAGGTTTAAAATAACCCATAGCTTTGCAGTCTTATAAAGGCTGAATGCTCAGCTCACTCTGTTAAGATGATTTTTCTTTCAAATTCTCAAAGGGATAAAGTTTGAAAAAAAAAACCCTTTTTTTTCTGTGTTACAGAGAGGAAGGCCTTCTGAAAGCACATGACCTACCCTACTAGCTAAAGTTATAATCTGAAACAAAAGCACTGCTGCAGGAATGTAATTTGACACTGCACATCTGTGTTATTTTCAAAGCACATCTGTCAAATATTTGTGTGCCTAAATAAGATCTTAGGCTTCACTTTGCAATTCAAAATAGTGAGGGCCTTTGAATAAATAAGGCTAAATAATAAATAAGAAAACATTCAATTGTTGCAACAATCAATGAAGACTTCACTGGTCTAATGGCTAGGTTGGGCACAATCTATAATAAGAGATTCAGAACTACAATGGGACTGTAGACTTGGGAAAGTAAACATTGTCTGCCACTGCTGAAAAGGATTAGGATGTTAAATGGACATGCTGGATAGGAGCCAATGTTCCCGCTCACATTTTCTATCCTTGGGCAGGTTGAATTTTCTTACGTGCACCACCAATATTGAGGTAGAGTGTCGATGTTCACCACCAATACAAACAAAACACCCACTTTATGTGTGGATGTGTGTGTACACATGGACTAATTAAAATTACTTTTATTCCACACACATCGTCTACTTAAAGTGTGTGTACGCGCGCGTCTAACTTTGGCACCACTTGTACCCCTGGTCATGCCAGCAAAGGTTATTGAGTTGAATTGGCACTGTAGTAGTAATCCAGTTTGGGATTGCATTTAGTAAAGTACAAGGAGACTGAGAACAAGGGGACAAGGTAGCTCTTCCATACCATCTACCAACTAATGGTACAGGGGATGTGCATAGGCTGCTGGTTTTTCTAGCCGTACTAGGGCAAAGATGGGAAAGAGGATTGTCTGGGTGAGAAATGAAGCACAGAATGAAGACATGCATTAATGCATTTGCACAAAAACTAATGCACAGTTTTTAAGTCAGCATCTCAGGTGGCATACAGGATGGTATACCATGAGGTAAAGAAAAGACTCCAAGGAGTAGACCCCCAGTTGGTGGTAATGGTGAGAGACAGTGTTCCCTATAAGCTGTGTGCTTGTGTGATCACACAGGGGAGAGTCAAATGCTTCCCTATTAATTAGCAGAGTGCCCACAACTAGATTTTTGTTTCTACTGTTGGTGCACGTTCGTACATACCTTGGTGCACATACATTTATTCCGCACATGGGTGGGCAAAATCTGCACGTGGTTGGAAAAAATTAGAGGGAACACTGGTCATAGCTCCACAAAAGTCAGCTGCTCTCATTTACAGCACTGAAGAGCTTTCCCTATACATTTCAATAGTTCATATTTTCACTAAAAGAATTCCACTAACTCACAAGCTGTCTCTAAATACCTGCATACTAGGTCAGCTCAGCTAGACCCACAGTTCAGTGCTCACCAGCCTTTAAATACAGCCCATTCAGAAGAAGGCACTTTGCTTGACATGAAAATTTCAGTACTCCAGGAAGTCACTCTTGCCATCAATCATTGCAATCAGAGCAGCTCCCATGCCTACTTATTCAGCATTGTCATGGAAGAGACGATCCAAAAAGTACAGACCACAAAACAGACCACAAAAGAAGATACTGAAAAAGAAAGGATGTGTGTGTGTGTGTTTATGCGGGAGAGATACAGAAAGCAGGAGTCTGATTATTTTTTTAATCATGGAAATAAATTATAACTGAAAAATCCAGGGCAAAGCTAGTTTTTAGGACCCTAGTAACTGGCATATCACATTAGAGCCAGGGCTCATCTGATACAGATTCCTGTCATTGACACTGGCTGGTAAAAACCTCTTCAGAAGGTGCAAAACCCACCTTAATAGATTATTACAGAATTCCTTACCCATTGGTCAACGTTTTTCCTGACCCTAGACAGCTAGTGATTGGTCAGTATTCAGAAGCTGTAGGGTTTTTAATCACTCACCCATTTTAATCCTAACTAATATAACTATGAATGTTACTATGCATTTAACTGTCTAAATCATTCTAAAAATGTTGGTCTCAATAACATATTGTGTCAATGAGGCTACATCTAGACTACAATGTTTTATCAGAAAAGGGTATGCAATTTGCGTACCTTTTTCCGATAGCTTTGTCAGAAGAGGCTTTTCTGAAATTTGGCCTGTCTACTGCGGGCCAAATTTTGGAAAAACCTCTTCTTTCAGAAGAGCCCTTCTTCCTCATGGAAGGAGGAAGATAGGGCTCCCGAAAGAGCGCGTCTTTTTTTTTTTTTTTTTTTTTGCTGAAAAAAAAAAAAAAGCAGAAGAGCAGAGGCATTCCCTGGACTCAGTGGAGTTTTTCCAGAGGTATCCCAGAAAACCCCTGTAGTCTAGACATAACCACAGATCCAAAGGTTTATCATGCATCAGGTAAAACAAGGGATGTAAGCCACATTGGTTTATGATTTATGACACTTTACAAGATGATTACAGAGCACAGTATTTAACTGGTCTTGGTAGTTCCTTTTTTGGATACAATCTAACTGAGTATTTGCACCAAATAAAATACGTCCTCAGTATGCAGGCTAGATGGATACTATATCAGGCAAAACACCAAAAAGTTTAATGGGTTGCTCAGGAATATTTACATAAATCATAAACCAAGATCGATGCCATATATATATACAATGTTCTGCCACTACCCACTATCCAAATGATACTTTGGGTCAGTGTGAAGCAAATCACAGCTGTGATACTGTGCTAATCCCCCCACCCCCTGACTACTTCACACTAGCTTTTCACCTACCAATAGTCAGATTAAACTGCAACCCTGAAAACACACACAGCCAGTCAGAAGTGAGTCCCGGTCCATTGTTCCTCTCTAAGTAGGTACACAGAAATAGTATTTGATCTAGTAACAGTTGTAAAACAAATCTGTAATATTTTTGCCCACATCCCCACCCACACCTAACCACTATCTCCTTAAACCACGGATGTAAAATATTGCTCTAGTCAGTGCAGTGCAGGCATAACTATCATAAGAAATTTCTGAGACTTTATTATGGCCAGGTCAAAGCAAAAAGTCATGAATGGGATGCCTTTTGGATGATCCGGAGAAACTGTAATTCACATTCGCCACAGAAACATTTCTTGGCATAACAGTCCTTCATTTTCTCCCTTCCCTCTTCTCATTTTTATCTTAAGCCATTCTTTTAGTCAAACAAAAAACTTTTTCATCTGCGGAACCTAAAAGGACTTTTTGCACTACAAAGTATCACACCAGTTTTGCCTGTCATTCTGAGCATTGGAAGGATTCTGCATGGAGCAGCTGGTAGGTAGCTGCTGATAATATCTTACACCCTCAGCTTAGGCACAGTTTTAAATATTGATGACATCACAGACCACTAGAGAGTCAAGCAGGAATTCATGAAACACTTAACTTTATGGGTATTCAAGGTCTAGCAGAATAAGAACACTTTGGGATTAGACTGTTTCTCCAAGAATATATCATTTATAATTGCCATTGCCTGTGCTCCATTATTCATCCTACACAAGCAGATGGAAAACACACACAAATGTATACATGCAAAATGCATTCACCCCCCCAACCAAAATTCACAATGGTTTGTACATCTGTTTTAACTCACAGTGTTTCTTGTACAGCAAAGAAAAGCCTCCTACACCCTGGCTAAAAAATCTGAAGATAGGGTGTGTCTAGACTACAGAGTTTTGTCGACAAAAGTGGACTTTTGTCGACAAAACTATACCTGCGTCTACACTACCGCTGAGTTCTGTCGACATAACGTCGACAGAACTCAGCAGTTTTGTCGACGCTGGTAAACCTCATTTTACGAGGCATAACGCCTTCTGTCGACAGAAGGTGTTATTGCATGTAAACTGTCCTTTGCGTCTACACTACCATGTCGACAAAGCAGCTTGCTTTGTCGACAGAACTGAATGTAGTGTAGATGCTCTTTGTCAACAGAAGTTTTGTCGACAGTATCTGTCGACAAAACTTCTGTCGACAAAAGCCTGTAGCCTAGACGCACCCATAGAGGAACTATGATCAGTATGAAGCATGTGTCTATAAAGAACTCAACTAGGTAGATAAATCTGATTGCTTTTTCAAACAGCATTTCAAAATTCAGAAATGAAGGAAAAAAGGCAAATATAATGTATTTAAATTGTTAGTAAAGCATCTGATAGAGTCTTACTTGAATATAGAATCACAGAATGCTAGAACTGAAAGGGACCTCCAGAGGTCATCATGCCCAGCTCCCTGCACTCATGGCAGGATCAAGCACGATCTAGATCAAGGGTGAGAAAAAGGGCCTCTGCGAGCCGGATCTGGCCCACCAAATGGTTGGATCCAGTCCGTGGAGGCCCTGCTGCTCCCCCACCCCCAGGCCAATTAAGGGCAGGGGAAGAATGGAGACGGTTTCACTCACTCCCCTGCCCCTAATTGGCCTGGGGGCAGGGGAGCGCACAAAGCCTCCTCCCATCCTCCTAGGAGCACATGGCGCTTTGAAGCACCGCACGCTGCTCACCAGGCCCTAATTGGCCTAGGAACAGGGGAGTGAGGGAAGTCTCCTCCCACACCAGGGGCATGGGCACCTTGCTGGAATGTGGGGTGGGGGCAAAGGCACTCCCTCACCCCCAGACCAATCATTGGCTGGGGGTGAGGAACCTGGAAATAGCTTGACCCCTCCCCTTCCTGTGCGGTCAAGTGCCACTTTAAAAATTTTTGAAATGGCTCCCAGCAAAAAATTATTGCCCACCCCTGATCTAAATCATTCCTGACAGGCATTTATCTAGCCTGCTCTCAAATCTCTCCAATGATGGAGATTCCACAACCTCCATAGGCAATTTATTCCAGTGCTTAACCACTCTAAGGGTACGTCTAGACTACATGCCTCTGTCGCCAGAGGAATGTAGATTAGGCTACCAGACATAGGAAAATGAAGCGGCGATTTAAATAGTCGCCGCTTCATTTAAATTTACATGGCTACCGCGCTGATCCGACAAACAGCTGATCATCTGTTTGTCGGCTCAGCACGATAGTCTGGACGCGCGGGTGTCGACATCAAAGGTATTTGTCAACCACCCAGGTAAACCTCGTCCCAGGAGGCATACCTGGGTGGTTGACAAATACCTTTGATGTCGACACCCGCGCGTCCAGACTATCGTGCTGAGCCGACAAACAGATGATCAGCTGTTTGTCGGATCAGCGCGGTAGTCTGGTCGTTCCGCAGTTGACATCAAAGGCATTTGTCGACCTCCCAGGTATGCCTCCCGACAAACAGCTGATCAGCTGTTTGTCGGATCAGCGCGGTAGCCATGTAAATTTAAATGAAGCGGCGACTATTTAAATCGCCGCTTCATTTTACTATGTCTGGTAGCCTAATCTACATGCCTCTGGCGACAGAGGCATGTAGTCTAGACGTACCCTAAGACTAACCTCCTGCATTCTAAGTACAATGACAGAGGAAGCAAGGTCTAGGCTTGTCCTGGACAATATCACTTGATTTGAAATATGGCTGAAGGCAAATGATAATGATAAAAAGACAAATAGCTAGGTTTCAGACTGTATCTAGATATGATAGTGTAGAAATCTGTATGAGGTCCTATTTCATTTCATATTTTCCTTAATGACCCAGAAGTGAAACTAAACAATACATTACGTGTTCAGGTTATATCATTTTTTTCATATATTCTTAGTTTCCAAGTTCAGAAGGGACCATTGTGATCATTTAGTCTGATCTTCTGCATAACACCAACCATAAAACCTCCTCAAAAGACTTCCTAGAGCAAAAAAAAATCCAATATTGGATTTTAAAATGGCCAGTGATGGAGACTCTACCACAGTAAATTGTTCTAAAATTTGGAAGAGTTGCAAAAAGTTGTGAAAACAGGGAAATAATGCAATGGACAGAGTGAATAGAAGCATGGACTGAAAATAATAAAATAAGATTCATCTTGGAACCTAAATGCAACCTAAGAAATATGAGGGAAAAGTATCCCAAAGCCAGATAGCCAGTGGAAAGGACAATCTGGAAAGCAGTGATGCTGAAAAAAAGGCAGATGTAATAATGAACACCAAATTAGGTATGAGTTTGCAACACACATTTTTTCAGCGTCACCTTCCCAAACAACAGCAACCAAGCAAAATAGCAACAAAAAAGATTTTTCCCCTAGGGATGAGGTGCTGTATGAGACATTAGTAATGTTGTTTCGTGCATCACCCCAAGGTTTAGGTTCTATGGTGATGGTATATTATAAGATCCCAACTGGAATATATGGGATATGGCAGCAAAAAAAAAGAGAATACAATTTTGGGCTACAGACAGAGGCATCTCATTTTGGGACAGGATGGCACAATTATCTTTTTCTACATCACTCTTGTTACTGTACACAGAATATTGAATGCAGTACTGGACAGCAATCTACTGGAAAAATACTGACAAACCAGAAGGAGTTCAGAGAACTGCAACAAAATAATTAGAGGGCTGTAGGAAACAACTAAAAAAAGATTAAAAGAGTTTAGCACAGATACTTCATTTTGGGACAGGATGGCACAATTATCTTTTTCTACATCACTCTTGTTACTGTACACAGAATATTGAATGCAGTACTGGACAGCAATCTACTGGAAAAATACTGACAAACCAGAAGGAGTTCAGAGAACTGCAACAAAATAATTAGAGGGCTGTAGGAAACAACTAAAAAAAGATTAAAAGAGTTTAGCACAGATACTTTGGCTAACTGATGGCTAAAGGGGGATACACAATCAGAAGGAAAGCCTTCCTGATCTCTCTGCAAAACAAGTCAAAAACCTTAAAAGGCTAATAATATCCACAGACTAGAATTGCATTGGATACAGATGCTAAAAGAGATATAGACTAATTCTGATCTTTTTATGCATCTTTATCCAACATGTCATCAGACTTGCTTACAGAATATAAGACAATTTGACATTTGGGCCCCATATTCCTGCTTAGTAGTGTGTTTGTTCTCCATGTGTACACCAGGTTATCATGAATGACTTTACTTACAGTCAATGTGTTCTCCATTGCAGAAGGCAGTGTTCTACCTTCAGAGCACCTGCCTTCTCTTCCTGGCTGTACCATCTTTCACCTCTCCTCCACTGTACTCTCTCTGGGTATGTCTACACTAGCCCCCTATTTCGAACTAGGGAGGCTAATGTAGGCATTTGAAGTTGCAAATGAAGCCCGGGATTTAAATATCCCGGGTTTTATTTGCATCTTCCCATCCGGGCGCCATTTTTAAATCCCCTTAGTCCAAACTAACTGCCCGCAGCTACACGCGGCAGTCAAACGTTAACTCGAACTAAGTTCCATGAGGTGTAACAGTTAACTCAAACTAAGGACTTAATAAAGATGTTGAACAAAACCAGCCCCAGAACCGATTCTTGGGGCATTCCACTAGAAACTGACCGCCAACCTGACATCAAGCTGTTAATGTTAAAGCAGTGTTGGCCCAACAGTCTAACCAGCTTTCTATCCATCTTACAGTCTATTTATCCAATCCATACTCCCTTAACTTGCTGGCAAGAATATTGTGGAAGACTGTTTCCAAAGCTTTGCTAAAGTCAAGGCATATCACATCCACCGACTTCCCCATATTCACAGTGCCAGTTACCTCATTATAGAAGCTAATCAGATTGATCAGGCATGACTTGCTTTTGGTGAATCCATGTTGACTATTCCTGATCACTTTACTCTCTTCCAAGTGCTTCAAAATGGATTCCTTGAGGATTCCCTCCATGATTTTTCTGGGAAATGAGGTAAGGATGACTGGTCTGTAGATCCCTAGATCTTGTCCTTCTTCCCTTTTTTTAAAGATGGGCACTACATTTGCCTTTTTTCAATCATCTGGAATCTCTCCTGATCTCCACAAGTTATCAAAGATAATGGACAAAGGCTCTGCAATGACATTTGCCAACTCCCTAAGTACTCTCGGGATGCATTAAATCCGGATCCACAGATTTGTGTATGTCTAGCTTTTCTAAATAGCTCTTAACCCATTCTTTCTCCACCAAAGGCTGCCCACCAGTGCAGTAGTCTGGGAGCTGACCTTGTCTCTGAAGACAGAGGCAAAGAAAGCATTGAGTACTTCAGCTTTTCCCACATCATCAGTCACTATGGGGCCCAAATGTCCCTCCGTCATCCAGTAAGAGCCCCACACCCTCTCTGATCACTCTCTTATTGCTAACATGCCTGTAGAAACCTTTCTTGTTCCCCCGAACATCCCTTGAAATTCTAATTGTGCTTTAGCCTTCCTGATAGCTCCCCTCTCACTCCCTGACATGATGGGAAGAGGAACAGCAAGCAGTGTCCCGGGATGAATCTCAAGAGGCAGGGTACTTCAGCCCCCTTCCTCTCCCTAAATGGTGCTGAGGGAGGGAGCTCAGAACTGTGGCAGTCTTGGATCGGTGTGGGGTGTGCCCCCCGAGGGCCATGATGGGAGTGCACTTGCAGTTGAGCGCCCCAGCTGGCCAGCTCTTTCTGACTTTCAACACTGCTTTCTAGTGATTATCAGACTACTATCCTCTCTAGAGTACTTACAGAAGAGTAGAAATACAGTATTGCACTGTACAGAATGCAAAACGTGGCTTCTTTCCAAACTGTCTCTCTGGGTCAGAGATGGCGGAGGAAAAGGGGAAGGAGACATCATGGTACTGAGAGGGAAAAAAAGTTATAGTAATGTAAACAGATATGTCTATTATGGCCTTCTCAGAATCTCCTGAAGCTTAAATATAATGGCCTTTTATTTCCAAAATAAAATATAGGATAAATTGCATGGAAAAGTAACTTTAAACAGTGCCTTAAATTTTCCCCTCAGTATCACTTTTTTTAAAAAAATTCTAAAGAGGCATCATACTTGAAGAAGCCCACATATGCACATGTATGTTTAATTTGCGTAAATATAATCCCTATCCTTTTTTTGTTGTGATTCTGCTAAGATGTCAAAATTATTATAAACTCTTTTAAATATGCTTTCCAAAACTGCTCTTCCCTTTTTAGGATTCTCTTTAATATCCAATTGCTGAACTTGGACTACGCAGTTGCTGCCAACAGTAAAAAGGTGTAGGTTATTGAAGCTGTGCAATTTCAAAATAGATTTTTTGGACTCCGATATCTTATATAGTAGTGGCCAATGTGCAGTCAGACAGGTTTTTTTAATTACTGGTAGAGCTCTCGCAGATATCAAACTTATATCCACAGATGTGGATGTCCACAAATAAAAAAGGGGACATCTGAGCTGCCAAATGGCTATACTGGGAAAAGCAGCAGCAAAAGTACCAGCATATCAGGCTGTCACTCACAGGAGCCAATATCCCACATGGGCAGCACCTGCAGTATGGCTGTGACACCCCAGCCCTGCACACTCGGGTGCAGGCTTAGTGGCTTGCATGCTCCCACACTAGCACCACCAGGAACAGCTGCTGCTAAGCTTGGTGCCTGCCTCAATGGGCTTGGGATGGTACAACCACACTGAAGGAGTTGCCATTGCTCTCTGAGCAAGGGAGAGCTGAAGACCAGGGAGTGATGGAGAGGTGATCACATCAATGTCTCAGATGAGGGATAGAACCAACTCTGAAAAGGAAGTTGGGGCAGAGAGCAAGACAACTCCTTTAGGCTGCAAAGAGCAGCAAAAGACTCTGAGAGGTCAGGGACCAGTCAGGTAAGGCCAGTAGCAGCCTCCCAAAACCAGGAAAGAACTAGAGTGAAGCTGGAAGACTTGGATCCTCTTCAAAGAAAAGGGTAGAAGCCCCAGACTGACTGTGATACTGGGAAGTGGGGGGAAGGAAGACTCCAGATTGGAAGGGGCTCAGGAAAAGATTCTTTTCTAGGTGAAAGAGAGAAGCTTCATAACTAACATAATAAACAAACCGACAAGACCATGAGAGAAATGTTTTAAGGCTGTGGTGTCCAACACCCTAGCCACAAGCCACTGTAGTGTCTACTGCTTCAGAACTGGTTGGATGCCACAGTTTTAAGGATTCTGGACTGGTGAAATGTATTTAGAGAGCCCTAAAGGTGGCAAATTGAGGAAGGGTGCCACAGAGCCACTCCTAGCTACATGCCAAACAGCTGACCCTGTACAATGGCAAAATTTGAACTTTTCCCTATACAGGCAGTCTCCCCCCAGCAGACCAGGGAGACGCGGAGCAAAGCCGCAGAGGATGCGGGCGGTGGGACCGCGGCGCGTCTCGGTCCCGCTGCCTGCGTCTCCCTGGTCTGCTGGGGGGGGTCTCGGCGCTACTGGACCAACCCGGCAGCACCCCAGCTGCTCTGCCCCAGGCGTCCCCAAGTCAGCTGCTGCTGAAACTGACCAGTGGCTGACTACAGGAAGCCCGAGGCAGAGTTTATTATTTTTAAACATATTACTGGAAACTTGCTTCAGTTTAATTCTTCTTGTATAACTGATTGTTTATGGTGTCCAGTGGTAGCTAGAAATGTTCACTCATTTTTAATTTCATGACTGACAGCTTCAGTTCAAGACAACATGAAAATTACTGGCCACTTTAAATGGAGTACTTCTTGTAATGGGTAAACAAACCAAACCAATGCTTCTAGAAGTACAGAGAAAAAATAAATACATTTTTGTATCTACATTTCTTGGGAGGAAAATCGTTATCTGCATAGTACAATTTGCAATCTTTCTATGATGCAATTTAGCTTTCTTATTTTCACTCTTCCCATCTCAAAGAAGGTGGTACTATCACACTTGCCATGAGGATTAAATGAGCACGGAATTCCACATTTATTATAATCACATTATTTACAGTTGTGTTTCCTGAACATTTACTGTCAACGTCTCCCCCGCATACACACACACACTCTGAAGGATAATGCAAAAATTTATTCCAAATGCCCATTTTTTAAAATTATTTTATTTTATACACTTCAACTTCAAGCATCAGCCACAAACTGCACTTTTTATTCTTGCTGTCAAACACTTTAAATATTGCATTACCCAAGTTCTGTGGTAACCATAGCCCCAGTGCATGAATGGCTAAACGACCCATTATACTGTTCACTTCACTTTCTCAACAGAACTGTGAAACATTCCACAAGATGAATGAGAAAATGCCAACGGAATTCACAACTCATAAAGTTCTTGATTCTGAATTTGACTAATCTCTCCTGCATTGTCTGGGAGGACACCTGCTGCTTGTGAAAACAAAACCCACTGAGCTCTTACAATCTGGGCAGCAGAAAACATGAATAGGCAACCAGCGGACTAATTCAATAAAGTTTGTTCAATTTTGGGCTTCACATGTAGATTTTTTTTTCAGAGATAATAAATGTATGTGGCCTGCATCTTGGTAAAAATCTGAAGGGCCTCAAAACTAATTGGAAAACATTGATAACAAATACTTAAATTTAAATTCGCCATTCTAAGGTAAAAATTAGATCAGTTATATTATACCATACAAAAGTATTCCTTTCTCAAATGGCATTCCCTAGCTCAGATCACAAAATTACTTTGCATAACACTTTAGGGATTACTTTTGTAAAAGGGTCCTGAAACTAGCATCCAATATTGTGGCACAATTAACTGTTGACATAAACAGCATCAGATTGATCAGCTTTTCAGGCATAATAAGGTAGCTTGCATTTAACTCTGGGTGTAAAATTCAGTAGGCTGAGATGAGGATGATGCCATAGTAGTAGGCAGAATAAGGAAACGGATATGTGTTGACTGTATACACACATTTCTTTATAGAATATTTTGCTTAACTATCTAGAAGATTGATCCTCCAGGCTTCCAAAGAAAAAATGCACGTTGCTTTCAGGAGCAACCCTACATACAGTAAGCTCTACTCTCCCCTTATATAATAACTTCCTTATCACCTTCCCCTTCAAAGACCCATCCAAAGGCTCTCATCCAGTCTGAAATCCTCTGTGCTGAGGCCCAGAACAGAGGTCCTCAATCTGTGGCCCACGTGACAGCCTCAGGGCCATAAGGGTAGTACTGAATGTGTCTCGAAATGGTAAGTAAGTTGGGAACCACTCCCCCAGGGCTGCCTATGTTAAAGGTTATGTGTTCTGGGGTTCTGGGTCTTAGTAACTGCTGGCACTGTGTCCAGCAGACAGGCTGGGTAGAGTTTTATTTTCATGAGTTATAGCTCAGCATGTTACTCATGATGAATGGTGAAGTGGCCACAGCTGACTACACTGCCCTCAGAGTGCAGGGATCTCTATGTTTTTATTTCTCTCAAGTATCTATGTGCATGTCTTTAATTAAGTGTTTAAATAACAAGATACACCTGTGATGCTTAGAAATCCATGTAGTTGGGGAAATGGACCGCCAGCCCTTTCAGCTCCTTCTCTAGACTAGAGTAGGTGAGTCATGACATGACAACAGTTGAGTGACCCGTGTATTTATTCATAGACATATTGATGTCTTATTATTATAGTATGGGAGCACCTCAACAACGATGTCCTTTTCAATTGACTTCAGCAGAGCTATTCCCAACACTCACCTGTTTAAAAGGAGAACCTGACTTCACATCCTTGGTGAGGTGAACAGTGGGGGAAAGCAAGGCAGACAGAAATTAAGTGACTTGTCCAATCTTAAACCAAGATTCCTGACTTTTAGTCCTGGGCCTTAACTTCAGACCAGCCTTCCTTAATCTCTAGTAAATGCAAGGCAGTTCTCAGGGAACAAGTAGCTACCTACAGAAGCACCAGGACGACTGGTACAAATTGGCACCCTTGTTGACAGTCTCAGGAAAGAGCCCAAGGACACGGAGTATGGAGTACTGGCCACTGTCAGCAGACAGGATACCGGGATGGATGGACCTTTGGTCTGACCCAATATGGCTGTTCTTATGTAGATGTGCGGATGGAATCTTAACTACATCTCATCCCTAGATGCATCCTTCCCAGGTCAGAGCTGACACACACTTGTCTTACGTGGAAGAAGGGGGCTGTCGAAAAAGGGTTTTTTTTTTCGACATTTGGCCCCGTGTAGATGGGGCCAGATGGCGGAAAAGCCTCTTCTGGGAAAGAAACAGAAGAAGGTATGCAAATGCGAGCGCTATTTGCATACCTCTTCTGAAACAACCCTCTTCTTCCTCCCCCCACACACATGCAGTGTACCCACTGTTTGAACGTGTACACAATATCAAATACCACGTGATCAGGAAAATAAGTTAATGCCCTCTAAAAATAACCGTGTTGAGGCTAGACCACACCAATCTGACCCTACGCAATTCAGAGGCAATTCCACAGCTACCAGGAATACTGTATGAAATTAGGAAGCTGGTCCCAAACCTAAGCACAATACTTTTACATTGAGCAGTGGCTAGACATGCCTTTGCATGTGGCCCTGCTCATTAGCTTTGATGGACATTAGGAGTGTCTAAGTGTAACCATTTACACAGTTAACCAATGAGCCCAGGCTCATCAGCTGCTGTGCATGGTTACACACAGCTCCCTCCCCCAACCATGCTGCAGGCGGGAGGTGGTATGTGCAGACAGCCAGCTTTTAAGCTGGCTCCCCACATGAACTGGCTCCTGTGGAGACACCTCTCCTCTCCCCCTTGCTCCTGCATCTGTGTCCAGCGTGGGGTGGGGGAGCAGGCGAGAGCTGATACATGCAGGGATCTAGCTTTTAAGACAACTCCCTGGGCGTACCAGCTCCTGAGGAGTTGACTGACCCTCTTCCCATGTGAC